GGAGTCCAGCCGGATGGTTCTTCTAGGACAACGGATGCTGAGGAGCCCACGAACGAGAAACCCTCGTCTGAATCTAAAGTGACCCCTCCTGCTACTTCTCAGCCAGCTACCCAAGTTCCTGCTGCCGCGCCTACGCAGACAGGCCAGCAAGAGGAACCAAAAGTGTCGGCATCAACCGAGCAGGAACAAGTAGCGCCTGAGATACATGTGGATCAGCCTGCTTTCTCGAGTGACGGCGCACCACAACCCCAAATCCCTGTTCCGCCTCCGGTGGTCGAGCAAACGGGACGATGTCTGACAATTCTCGAGAATTTTGATGAGGAGACTGCGCAGAGTCGCGAGTTTAGCATTTATTTCAATTCCAAAAAGCCTCCCCGACTGACCAGTACGTGCACTTCCTCAGAGCCACTCCGTTCTAGATGGCCAAGCTGACTTCTTTTCCAGAAATCTCCTCGTCACTCTGTGTTATCACATCTCTTCCTTCACGTTATCGAGATCCCGAGACCTCCCTTCCTTTTGCCAACGCATATGCGTATCGAGAAATCCGAAGGACTGTTGCCCAAAAGTCTGCCTGGAGTCCCATGCTAGGCTGTTATGTTGGCCCTGTCGGTGTTGCAGCGCGTGGGGTCCCAGCGAGATTCCTCAATCCTGACGCCCCAAGTGAAACCCAGCAGAGCGAGAAGAAAGATGGCAAGGACGATGGGGAAGGACCTGTATCTGCTGCTCCTGGGAAGCCGGAGGGTGAGATGAAGACTGCCGGGGGGGTTTCCAATCCGCCTGCGCCAGCTGCTCCTGCTACGCCAACACCTGTGGCAGCTGGCGGCGTGGATCCAATGGACATTGATAAGCCTTGATAAGGCTCCCTACCACATGGGCAGTGCCCATTTGACTGGATGCGCCTTTTTTCTGTATGATAGGTCGTGTAGATTAGATACCCAGATGAGTTAACTATACCTTTAATGCTTAGGTGATGACATTGCTGTCCATATCTGGCTTACCAGGATGCATGCATTGCGCTGTTGTACATCCTCTACAGATTTCGAAGCCGATCAACCAATTCAACCCCGGTAAGCTATCATGAGCGGCTCGATTACACCATCCCACCTTTACATGAGATGCTCAAGACAGGCATTACCTCACCCACGCACGAAGTTAGCTCAAGTCCATCCCTTGCATCACATCACATCACATATCACATCATTATGCCATTGTATATTCTCAGCAGGAAAAGGGGATGATGCCATTCCCTAGTCCCCATGTAAACCTCGAGACAATCCACGGTAGTGGCAAACCTTGATCTATCCTGTCCTGGGCTGGTCGACGGAAGGCAACGGGATCTGAGCCCTGTCCCGTTCGGCAGCTGCGTAAGGATTGAGGGACTGGTTGTTGGAGTAAAAACGCATGTGAAAAAGGGAGGATATCTGGAGCTACGTTTTCTCCTGGTGTTGCATTCCGGAGACCTAATTGTATCATTTAGGTCATGGATACGGCTTTTTCATATTGGGACGGAGGACCTTGGTTTCTGTGTGCTGCGTGCATGCCTGGGATAATAATTAGCAGGGTACGGGGACGGAGTACCTTGATGTCGATTTCTAGCTGTCTGGATTTGGCAAGTTGACTCGTTGCCTACCGGACCTTACTCTGGGAGCTGTGGAGGTCATGGGCAAATAATGGCAGTATTGATTCGTTTCATTTCCCCATAGTGTTAGTGTCTTCTCCTAGCAGTAGCTGTGTCCTGTGCGTAAGCCATAATGTAATTCTAACTACCTGGGTAGAAAACGGCGCAGGGAGAGTCGCACGATGTTCACCGCACTGTCTCACTAAAGGGATATTCAGGTTATGTGCTCCGTATCCAATAGGACATTGCATCGCGGATTCGATGGACCGAGAAAACAGAAATCAATAATAGGGCTGTGTCCAGTGCTCATCGTACAGCGTTGCATGCTTGTAACGAGGACGCACGACACAGGAAGCCTTCGACCTTGATAGTGAGGCTGTGGGTCGTCGGCATGAAAGATTTATCTGTAGAACTGGACTTGTCAACCTTGGCGGTATTTTGTGTCGCCTTCTATCTTAGGAGACTGAGGGTCTACTTTGCTTAGTCAAATGTAAGGTACCTCTTCCCGCAATGGCATGGATGTTGATCATTGGAGCTTGGGGGCTTGGAGCCTGGAGTTGTAGCTTGCACCATCATTTGACATTTAGGGCAATGACTGGAGTCCAGAATCGGTCCGCCAGGTGAGTGAGTTGTTATGGGTATCCAGCGAGACGTGTCATAGAATCATGGCGAACTGAGTCATTGTGAAATTGTCGACTATGGGGTAATGGATGACGAAATCAAATGTTGTACCTAGGGAGGTATTCTTTGTCTATTTCCCATGATTGGTACCATGTTGTCAGTGTGTCCCACAGAATTCTTCAGGCCTCTGCTCCTACATACGAGTTGCTGCTGTTATAGAGACTATTGTCGATCTCGCCCGTACCTAAGCCTATTTCCTTATCCACGTAGTGCGAGTCTGAGTCTGAGCAACTCCGTACCGCTAGTGAACTCTTTGTATTCCTCTCAAGCGACCAATACCACAGGAATTTGCCTCAGACCGCTTACTAGAGCGTCTGGTAATTCCGTCAAGATCACTCATGAATTTCAAGACATACAGGGTGTCTTCCGGGTACTGAGGCCGCGATCGTCAGCTCAGACATCGGCCACACTTCCATTAATTGATGCCATATGGCATGAATGATTGGATGTCACAACCGCCGATCCATCAAAATGGTCTGCCAGGGAAAAAATATCGGGATATGCTCCATCTTTATGCACGTACGTAAAGCAATCCGATTTTTTCTAACAGGCTACAACGTGCTCTCAATCTATGGACACAACCTCATCCGGACGGAGTTGTCTAGACCCCTCCACCGCTCCAGGTGGGGAGCGCCAGTTCGCCCTTTGCAGTCAACCGTCAACAACCATGTCGCCGATTATGGACGCCGGAACACTGCCAGGGTGTTTGTGCCAGTGAGTATGCCAGGGCTAGGCTGATCTGGCGTTGACCTGGCAGTCTCTTTGACTCCCATGTCATCAAGGTGAGGGGCATTGATTGGATTGGATTGTTATCTTGATCCCCAATCCGGATAATCGTGGCTCTGTCGGTTAACAGAAAATTGCCAGACGACCGGAAGGGCGAAAAAAGGAATAGATAGGGTCAAGGGTCATGGCTTTATCTGGTGATCTAGCCTAGATTATCTAGGTGGGAATAGAATGCAGAATGATCAACCGTTTTCATCTTATCTTGACCCCTCCATCAGTAGAAGACACTTGCTCGGTGCCGCGGGGTATCCGGATGTCTGATGAATATAAGAGCATTGAGACTCTCGCTGAACTGTGTCTTACAATCGACTACGGATCGAACCCCCCAAAATTAGCAACTTAGAACCAAAGAACGAGATATTGTGGATCTTGCAGCATTTGCACATCATATCTGCCCGCCAAACCTACCCCATTCCGCATCCGACAGGAGACGGTTAGATCATCATCTTCAGTGGTGAGGTAAGCCATATAATTATAGTATTATGATATCCGTTATTACTATTATTATTACTGCCTCGTTACTACCCTGCTGTTTGAAAATGTTCATAATGCACTCATGGATTGCGCGTTACAATTGATACCTCAGGCATCATTATCCGTTCTAGACCTTTTTGTCTCCATGATAATAATGCTGATGATGATGGCGTGACTCGCCTTTCGTCTGTTGACAGAGGACAAGACATCAGCCATCGATTCCATCATCCCTTATTATTATTATTGGATATTGGGGGAAATATTGAATCGTCTTATGTGGAAATCTCTTCTGGAAAGGACCAACAGGCTAACAAGTTGCGTGTATCATGCTTTCTCTGTAGCGGGACTGCTGGACAAAAGTTCTAGAATTTCCCCCGGCGCTGAGACCAGCTCCCAATTATACTTCCTCCTTCGTGCTCAGATACCACCTTTTCGGGGTCTACGAACGGGCTATCTACAGGGTACTCTCAATCCATCAGCATACTTAATCACTGTCGTTTCATCCATTTGACTTCCGATCGACTCGACTTGATTTCATCTTTATTCTTATCAAAGCACGTCCATCGACTCGACCATATTTATCGTTGACCCTTGCTTTTGCCGTGGCTTACAGCACCCCTGTCTCATTCCCGGTTGTTGATCTCCGAGCGATTTTCTTTTTCTCCATATCGTCAGCTGCGCGATATCCAATTATCCACCCACTATCAAGCAGATCTTGTCATTCAATTGCACGTGCTTCGTCAATCAATCCCAAATCTCAAAGTCGAGGATTAAGAAGAAAACAAGTATTGCATCAACAAAGATCTTTAACGTCTTCGCTGGTATGTATGCTTGTACCCTGTTGCCCTTTGTGACAGCCGTATCTGCGTCCTGTACATCATTCTCCCCTTATCTTCCCCCATTCAGAAGCCTGTGATAACGGCCAACCTACCTGCCCACTGCCGCTTGGTGCAACTGAACTAGGACCTATCTAACCATTTATGTGTCGCTGCAGTCACGCGTTGCAGTCCTAGCAAAAGCTTATCGCTGTTGTTATCTCAACCGGCCCGGGAATTTCGTGGATAATCACGCTACACATAGCTGTTTATCGGACGGAGGCCTGTATTTCCCTCAGCATTCCTCTGACAGACATCGTCTGCCTGAAAACAGGGACAAAAAAAAGGCGCAAAAGAAAGGAGAAAGGACATTACAAAATTCTCCGCAAGGCTGCAGCAATAAACACAACCAAGTACGACCGTCTGAGACAATTGATCGATCCAATTGCGTATCCTCGTCGCAAATCCCTCATACTTAGTTCCCCCCTTAGGGGATAAGCTCGTGCTCCACACCTGCTGCAAGCCTCTAGTTGATTGAGAGTCGTCCGCTCGGCGCAAGGTACCATTGGCAGACTATCTCTACCTAAGTAGAATTGGAACGAGTATATACATCCTCACCGCCGTCCATGACTCAATCGAACTCCCATCTTCATCATCGACGCACTCCCTCCTCTAATGGCTCGAAAGTGAGAACCTCGCGACCGGCGCTACATCGGAAAGGCACATATTCTGTGAATCATTCCATCTCGAAGCTAGGCTCTGGGCAGGTCAGGCGTCCGGAGCCCGAGAACGACCATCAGCCCGACATGGCGGCCAGCTTTTTGAATTTCTGGTATGTTGTTTGACCGTTCGTTATCTTCTCTTGAAATAGAGAGATATGAGAGAACCCGTCTGCGCTTGGATCTCTCCCAATTGGCCCATTCCGACCTTATCATTGCTGTCCATCCTTGCATACCTTGAACATCAAAGCTAATCAACTTGGCAGTGCCATGTGCGAGAGACAGATCACAGTGCCGGATAATTCTCTTCTCTATTGCAGCGAAAGGTATGCATATTCCTTTTCTCTTATCTCTTATGTCTCTCTTTGTCTTAGCACCCATTGTGGCCTTATAAGCCCGCAATCTCCTCGGCTTAATGGCCATCTGCTCACACTACTTATCTGCAGCTGCCGTCGTAAAGACTCGCACAAGCCGCTCTCCGCGTCGTTCCCGTCCAGTGGCTCGATACACTACTCGAGGTCCCCGCCCACCTCTCCTCTGGTTTCTTTTCGAATGATTGTTGCCCCGATGACACCCACCAAGGTCCCCGGCAAATCCACCCCGTCCACCGGGATACCCACAGACTTCCATGACTCCAACGTAGATCAGGACCCCTCCGAATGGAAGCCGGTAATACCTGCGGCTCATGGTAGTACGGGGTCGCTGGCGTCGACGGAGGCCTGGCATTATCTTTCTCAATTCCACGCCAGCGAACCGTCGTTTCCGAGGCGTCGCCACGGTGCCGGTCACCGCAGCTCGGCCAGTTTATCCACGCTCATGAGCGCAACGGCTCCTGTTCCGTCTTTGACCTATACTCCGTCCACCACGGCATCGTCCTTCAGCAGCACGGCCTCAGACTACATTGGTTACATGCCCGACTCGTCTCATCGTCCGTTGCCTCCTCGCCACAATCCCTACTTTTCCAATGGCGCTGGCGTCACGAAGAGTGTGGAACTCGTGGTGCCTCACGTTGACACCCCTTCTGTGCATTCCAACGCTGTGGATATGTCCGACAGTGGCTCGATCTTCCCTGCCAGCAGCTCCCTCTGGAATGAGAGTTTGGCAGGGAAGACTCCTACCGAAACTGTGGCCAAGGCTCCGAGTGCTCTTGATTTGCCTATCATGTTGAAGCAGGGGAGTTCGTGAGTGGTCTCTAAAAGTTCGACTAGAAAGATGCAGCCTTTGCTTTCGGTGCTGTCCTAGGGGACGCATTTCTTCAATTCTGTTGTGGTGCTTCTACCATTGCCTACGAGCAATTGGAAGACAAGAGAAAATATAGATCCAAAGCTGAGGGCGATACGATGTGATGGCTAACGGACATGGCGACTTGGTTATTTTGGCGCTTTCGTTCTTTGATTGATCAGCGAAAACTGAATAGATTTTAATTGCCAGGGCCTAAAAGCATGGGCATGAACAGGTTAGATAGATAAGCAATGATACGCTCCGTGAATTATTTAGATGTCCCTACAACTGTGCATAAGCTAAGTTGCGGTGTAGCTCAAGCCTGGAATGTAAACAATGATATTTGCGGTCAGCTGCGTATATATATATATATATATATCCCCTTCAACCGAAAAGCAATATAGATAGAAGCTACCCGTTCACGACAGTCACAGGTTTCAACTATATATAGCCAACTGCCCAGAGTACAAGGAATCTCTGTTCAACTGGGTTGACCCATTCAACTCTGGCACGCAGAGAAGTAAATATGTACAGTGAGTGGATCTTGATGCCTAAGGTATTAGGTGCAGACACCCAGTGTCAGGTACTACGTAGCACTGTGTATTACAAAACCAGCACCTCCATGAAACTCGGCTTAACAGCCTGAGTATCAGTCGCAATGCTACACAGGTACATGATTGATCTAGGTGGCCAGCTAAAGTCATACTTGACAACCCTATAGTATGTGAAGCTCCAAGCAGTGATTCCACTTACAAGCAGGATATTATCTAACTATACTAGAACAAGCACAAAGGGCAAGCCGCAAAGGCACCGGCACCGTATTTCATGTCCTTGGGTACCACGGATCAGATAAGTCAAAGTTGAAGATGAGGCTATGTCCAGGAAGGGAGAAAAAGGAAGAATCCAATATCAACAATCACGAAAAACGACAATGTCGAGATCACTCAGCGTCGCCGACACCCGTGTATCCGGGCACTTTGGGTCCTGGTACTTTGGCTGCGATCTCATCTGAGATGCAGCATGTCCCATCCTTGTACTACAGATATCGTTAGAACGTCGACATTGGGGGTGAAAGGAAGAGGGAGAGGGAGATGAGATGGAAATGCACTCACCGCTCGGCCGGGACACGCTGCAGCGCCGTAGAAGTAGCTCTTGAAGCAGACAGAGTTGCCTTCGTCGTGACCGCTGGGTCCACCGTAGAAGACTGGTTTCCCGTTTGTGTTTGGGTCTGGGACTGGCGCGGGAGCGGGAGCTGCGAGGACGTGTGAGGCGAAGAGGGTCGCGGCCGCGAAGCAGATTGTGGAAAGGTGGAAATGCATTGTGGTGATAGTTTGGTTTGGATGAGATGCTTTGATGGGTATCTAGGACAGTAATCCAGTATTCAGGAGGATGGTATATCGTTAAGCAGGCGGATGGGTGTGCGCGCGACTACCTCTCTACTTATACCAGCATGCGTCAGAAAGGATGCAAGGGATTTGTTGAGATGAGGATTGCTGAGCATCTTGATACGGTCATCCTGGTTCATTGCAGGGTGATATCATTGGCTGTGGTTTCCTATGGCGAGGGTTAGGAATGCTTGGATGTCTCGTGTTTTGTTTTGCTTGTCGATGAGCGGGTATATACTACCTATGTTCATGAAGGGGAAGGGCGGAGTTGCTTTCGATGGAATGTGACGTTGCTAGGGGATCAAGGAGAACCTGAGCTGGTTCAGACAAAGGCGATGCCCCCCAGTAAGGTCAGCAAGGTGGTACGATCTGAGGAGAGACATTACAATAGAGACAAGCAGTTCGAAGTGTCAACGAGGTTCATATCCATTATTGTCTTTGACTGAAAACAATTAGCAAAACATACCTGATCTCCAACCATGTGCCATGTGTCATACTTTGGTTTTCGTCCAGATCGATATGCTCATATTTAACAAGGTAAACAATTTGATACTGTGATAGACGCGGTGAATGACGCTACCATGCATCGTGATCTGAAATATATGTCTATATCGGACCGCCACTTTATGTATCCCCATTCGCATATTTTATAGAGCTGCATAACCCATAGTTGATCCTGACCCCTCAACAATTCAAGTGATAATTATTTCTTGCCGTTGAAAGTATCTCAAATGACCTGATACAGTAACATATGGTGCTTAATCGAGTTGTCGCGTTGACACGGTAGTCAATCAGTGCCCATAATGATTCGCAATACTGCCCATGACGAGTTGGGGCTTCCGGAAAAAACATCCGGACAAGCAATTGGATCAGAGGTCCTCACAGTCACAACCCACTTGGTTTTAGGAATATCCAAGGAACCGGCCCGGAGCTCTGCCCCTGGACTTATCTAGTTGCGGAAAGTCAAAGTAAAATCCTCATGAGACTTCTTGGAACAGGGCTATCCCAGCTTGTTGGTCAATCGAAGACATGAACGAGGAGCTCACTTTTTACGGGCTAAAGTACGGGCTCTAAGCCTTCAGTAATGGGTTTTTCGTCCGTTAAGTAATGCTCATACTCAGCGGACTAGTTTCATCGAAGGAAAGAAGCCACACTGCAGCACATATCGTACTCGTAGGCAGTGGCAGATGAGATAACTACGTCAAGAAGCAGACGGCCTAGAACATCCGAGCTATTTTTTTTTTTTTTCTAAACCGTACTGAGTACCGTGGGTTTGACTCGCGCAAAATATCGAGTGCAGCACCATTATTGCCATATTGCCCTGCCCAAGTCTTCCCAGGAGTTCGATCCGCTAACTTGCTTACTGCAATGGCTTCGCAACAAGCCGCACTTCCTATCAGCGACAAACTCCGTTGCAAATTCCCAACGACTGCATCATTCCTGCCCCCTGGAACAGTAGTCCTAGCCAGAAACTGTTGCATCATAAAGACTGCCTATTAGCTGAGTTTTTTGGTTCAATATGGCGACCAGGCGTCAAGTGGAGCCGCAGCATGGCTTCAGGATCTATTTTCCATCGCCTATGAGGGTCCGGCTGGCGCCAATTGGCGCCAGAGCATGAACTCTTGTCCTGGACTTTTCTCCCCTTTTGTCCACTTTTCCTCCCCTTTCGCCTCTAGCAGGCGTCAGATACCCTTCGGGAAACCACGAGAACTGGCCTGCATATATTTCTCGGATGGAAAATACTGATTCCCCGCTTCATTCTGTCCCGAGACGACCCGTATTGACCATAGAGAACAATAGAGCTGTCCTAAATCACCTTCCGAAGCCGTCTTGAATCTGTCCGGGAAAATCAGAAGCGAGAAAATCGCCTGAATGAACTAAAGAGAGACGAGAACCGATCGGATGCCAGGATGGATTTTATAATCCCCCCCGGCCTAAAGGCCTATCCCGGGTCCATGAAGCAGACAAGAAACGAAGTATTGTCGAAACCAGGAGTCTGCAGTCGATGAGTCAGTCAACTGCAGCCAGCAATATGTTCAGTAGCCACAAGTCCTCAGTCTTTCCAATCTCGGGTCGTACGATATATCATGCGTCATCACATGATACGTTTTGTTCACAAGATATGCAGAGTCAACGTCAAGCCAACGAAGGCATGCTTTGACCTTTCCAGACAACATGCACTCCGCAAGCAAGCGACCGATCTTGCTCCTCGACCGTGAATCCTACTATCGATGTTGTCATACCCATTGCGGAAGCGGAAGGCAGAAAGGATCACATGCAGTAGTCGACACTTGACCTTGTCGTAGCAGCACCATCTGGACTACGCGTTCTTTTCATGTTTCGCTGTCAAATTTCGAAGCTTGGCCTCAGAGTTGCGTTGTATTCAATCCTGCATTGTGCATGAGGATTATCATTGATGCACCTGGTCCGCCCTTGAGGTGACTACACCGCTGGCATGCAAAGCTAGACTTCCGAGACATGAAAGATCTCGTCCTCCATGAACAGCCCCTTCCTTGTTTCTCATTTATCTTTTCCCTGCAGGCTTATTTGACGATCTTGATACCATGAAAGACCGTGAAGCGTCCGAGAGATAATTCTCGGATCGATCGACACCAGAACGAAAGATGTGGCACGCAGCCGAGGCTTTCCGCATGAATTGAAGAGAAATAGCGGAAACCGCAGATTTGAAGACGACAATGCTGTATGCTTGAGCTGGTCTCCAATGGCAGTTCCGAACTACCACCCTCCAGCCACTTTGTATATCTTACGCGGTCAAATGCTCCGCTGAAGCAACATCCACCGGAGATGTCCGGTTGTATAATTGCTCTGATATGTCATTCAATGAACATGTCTCCTGATCATGGCTCACGACGGTCACCGAACATTGTCTTAAATGAGACGTGGCCCACGTTTGGCCCACGTTGTGATGGCGATCACTTAGGTAACCTTCATCCATTGAGAAGGAAAAGAGGGCAAGCAACGCGTTTAGACTGCTATTGCGGCCTTCCCCTTCTCTGCGTCATCCATGTTCATCCATGCTTGCAGTATAAACAATCCAGAGACACCCATTGTTGTGGTCTGAGCTAGCAGCATTTCACCACAGCAAGGTATAATGCGGCCTATCAGGTTGCAAGAGCCCGAGTGCTGATGTTGAGCTGTATCCTTGTGGACTCCAAGAGCATAGCAACTGACTATCTTGGGATATGAACATGAGCGACGGGGCGATCAGACGGCGAGATCGACGCGGCTTCGAGTAAACAGGGGTATTTCCGGCTTCCGGCAGTTGTTCTCGGAGGATGTCGCTTGACCTGGGCTCTAAACATTCTCGCGAGACTGTAAGTGGTAACGTTCGCACAAAAGGCATCTCTCCCTGTTGTCTCCTTTCCTAGCGGCATTCTGCTCTGGTGACTGGGTCGGTTAAGCTCTCCTAGCCTAGCCCTGATGGCACAGGTGATGATTGTGCACAGCTGGAGACCGACTTACATCTCTGAAATAACTGAAGACACGCAGATCATGAAGGAGAGCAAGCAATCCAATTTGTGACTTGCTGTCTTGCTGGCTGGCCTAGATTGATGGGTA